CTCCCTTTGAACAGCAGGGGGAAAATTAAACAAGTTGGAAAATACATAGCGTGTGTTGAACAGGGAGAAGATTGATGTTAACCAATAGGAAAAGCTAAGAACAGAGTTTTTATATGTTATGAATACTGTCCCCCTCCAGAGCACAGGCCCTGGATCGAAGCCCACAGAATGGTGTATCCATTCATTTTAGAGCCTAGTGTCTTCTATGACTAGACAATTACATCTGTTTTTTGAAAGAATAAGGCTCTTGCTTTTCTTTTATAAGGAGTCATGAAGATGAAAGTGGTGCTCTTTTTCTATATAATAATATGTTTTAAGGACTTACCGGGAAAATGAGAGACTACTGGTCCAGATATACACTGAATGTAAGGTATTCAATCATACTGTTCATAAATGGCCTCTGCTGTGGAGAGCTGGAGCTTTCCCTTTCCTTTTCCACTGTGCCAGAAGGAATCCATAGTCCAGAAGGGAACAAAGAGAGAGAAGTACACAGCTTGCATTCAGTGCGGAGGTGGGGAGCCTTTCAGTATAGTTAAAATTTGCACTTCAAAGTTCTTTGAACAGAGTAAGGGAAGATAACTTCTACAAAATGCACAATGAGTAATCTGTCCTTTTTTTTCGGATTAGGATTTTCTTATAATTAGAAATCTCTCAGAATTAGCTGCATGAATTATTTATTTCTGTATCCCAGATGATCAATGGGCAGCACGATGCCTCAGTTTTGACATTTCTGAATGTTTGAAAACTGGTCAGGTGAACCAAGTGGTGCTCTGATAGCAGGCACCAGCTAAACTAGTGCTTTTGAGCTTTTTTGGAGGCTTTTGGGCATTGCATCCTTTGTTCCCTCCAAATCCTCATTTTGTGTGCTGTGTCACTAAAGTATATTGTTTAAGTGATGGGACTCAGCAGCTCAGGTTGATGGTTGGACTCGGTGATCCTGAAGGTGTTTTCCAACCTAGATGATTCTATGATTCTGTGATTCTGTAAGTTCTTTCCTGGCTGCAGCTCTAAATAGTTTGCTTAAATCTACACTGTTTAAATGAAAGACTGAATCCATATCATCTTAACCTAGCCTACAGCCTTATTACAAAGACATTGCTACTCAAACATATAGTACTACTTTAATTATGAGCCTGCAGGCTCTCAGGCTTGTGGGTGATTTCCGCCTCTGATAACTGTTCTCAGATTACCACCATTTCAGGAAAGTGCAAAGGTTTTTTTCCTATGAAAATCCCAAACCAACGGCACTCGATCAGAAAGTCATCGAGTAACTGAAACCCTTCTGCTGAGCCTTAGTTTATGAAGTTTTGGAGAAAGTAAAGACAAAATATAAGCTGCTTTGCTCAAGCCTTTCTCCTATAAGCTAGAAGAAGAACTAACCTACACAGAGCTGAGTTTTCTGTGGTTAGTGCTAAATGAAAGGGAAAGCTTTGCTAGCACCTGAGAGCAACAAAATAAGAAAGTGCAAGCTGAGAGGCACAGCCAAATGGTGGGAATAACAGCAAGTGACTCCTCTTAGGCTCAGCTGTAGAAGAAAAAACAACCTTAGTTTTTTACAGAAACCTCAGATTTTGTTGCTGTTGTTGTTTGTTATGTTTGTTAAAGTAAAACAAAATTATCAAGTGATTTGTCATTTTTTACTTTGATACTTTGTACACAAATAAATAACTGAATACTGAACTGAACTCTGGGTAGTATAAAATTATAAGTTCCTTATACCAGAGATACAGGTCGGAAAAGCTGATGTGATGAAAAAATATTTCACAATGAACAATTCATATTTTAGGAAAAGGATTTGGGGACGTTAATCAAAAGGCAGCTGAACATGAGCCAGCACTGTGCTGAGGTGGCCAAGAAGATCAACAAAATACTTGTATGGCTTGTACCAGACATAGTGCAGTCAACAGGACCAGGGAGGAGATTGCCACTCTGTACTCAGCATTGGTGAGGCAATACCTCGAGTACTGTGCTCTTTTAGGCCCCAGACTGCAATAAAGATATTGAGGCCCTGGAGTGTGTCCAGAGAAAGGCAACAAATCACTTTTTATAACTCCCTGAAAGGAGGTTGTGGAGACGTGGAGGATGGCCTCTTCTCCTGGGTAACCAGCAATAAGACAAGAGGGAATGGTTTCAAGTTGCACCAGGGGAGGGAGGTACAGGTTAGATTTTAGGAAAAAAAATATCTAAAGAAATGATAATGCATTGGAACAGGCTGCCCAGAAAGGTGGTGGAGTCACTGTCCCTGGAGGTGTTCAAAGAAAAATATAGATTTGGTACTGAGGGACATGGTTTAGTAGCCATGGTGGAGACAGACTGATAGTTGGACTAGATGATCTTAGTGGTCTTTTCCAAACTTGATGATTCTATTATATGTGTAGATACACACAGGATATGTTAATGTGCTTCTGTTAAATATATAGACCAAAATCAGGCACTCAAATCCTAGAATATTATTCTTTACACACAAACGTTTTCCTTCTGATATGCAGTTTTTCCATAGGCCCATTACAGCATTATGTAACCAAATGATTTAACTAAGGCCTGATATTTTGCCTCTTCTTCTGAGTTTCGGTCTGTGTACTATTATTTTGTTATTCATTATGCTTAAGGCCATGTCCTAGCTGGAGGTTACTGTTATAAATGACATGAATGGACTGTGTGAGGAATTCTTTGCCTAGTTCAGTACAAAATCAATCATGTCTGAGCAGCTTTCAGCAAGAAAAATTTGAAATAATGTGGAAGAGACATTTTTTTGACACTTCATCTAGTGACGATCCAACTGTGGTGACAAATAAAACCACAAGAGAAACAATAATCAACTTTTTGGCAGAGTGGGCAGTGCCATCTTAAACTGCCTTAACCACTTTTGGCCAGGCCTGCTTTTCTACGTCTTTTCTTGTAAAAGAAATACAGATATTTCATTGTATGTCATTGCTGAACTCAGGAGGGTGCTGTCAAGTGGCTTAATAATTTATACAGAGGTAAATTGACATCATCCATAGAGACAAGCTGCAGAAGAGGAAAATACACATAGATTACCAATGACTTTCACAGCCACTATCTGGCAATAGAGAAGGATGAGACTTGGGAAGCTGGGTGACCATTGCAAGCTAAAAGGAATGTGTTATGACCCCTTGCTTCTCACTTTGCCTCTCTCTTTCTCCAACATGTTCCTATGACTGCATTAATTCTCCTGGGCTTCTTATTCCATGTAATTCAGACAGTCTTGATTCTCATTCTCCCGCAAAGATTTCAAACTTTGTTCAAGCATTTTCAGAGTTTCATTCCCTTTCCTGGGCTGTTTGTCTCCTCTTCCAGTCACTGCAGACAGTTTCTCCTTTGTTTCTTCACATTCAAGTTCATATTTCCTCCTCACCTGTATCATCTGTTTCTTTCCCTACTGAAATGTCTGTGCTCCAAAAAAAGGGGAAATTTGGAGAAGACAGGAACCTGTTTCTTGTTCTGAAAGCCCATCGTTATGAGAAAGTTAAGAGGACAGTTGGTGCTATTTAGCTTTTAAAAATGAAGCTGAGCCTATTTAAGCTGTGATTTCAAAGAAATTCATATCTTGTAAAACTTTGTCTACATTTGGTGGAAAACAATGAAAACATTCTCTGTAAGAAGGACTTCTTTTCACCTTGTTTCCAATACGTATTGTACTGTAGGTTTGCAAGCTCTCTGAGAAAATGTCAGTATACTTTTAACATCACAAAGAATATTTTATTTTCCCAATTTTATTCTTGGAAAAAGCTGAACAGTTACACAATTTTGGCTGATACTTTCCAGTTAAATTCAGCCTAAGGCTAAATTTTCCATGCAACGTGTAAAATTTCAGCACAAATTGTTCAGGTCTGGCAATGCTATCAGCTGCTGAATAAAGAGTCTTATAAGTGAAAGTGTTAGGAAAGTTTAATAGTAGACAATGCTACCAACTCCACCTATAATATATCTTAAATCTACTATTAGGTCTATAAATTAGATCATGGTAAAAGTAACACTAAAACAATAACAAACATTTTATATAGAATCTGAAATACTGTAAAAAGTTTTACATACATAAGCTGATATATAAATTTAGATTCTGATCTTATCTGCCTAAGAAGAGGCGGAAATCAAAGCATTTCACTTTTGGTCTCTCTGATTCCCACAGCAGCCTGTTGGCTAAGCTTCATTACCTTGATCTTCTAAACAAAATTTCCATGGGAGTTCCTGCACTCTGCAGTTCATGCCCTGAAATCTCTGCTCAGACATTATGTGGACCAACTCCCACTGAAGTCAAGCTTCCCTGAGAGAGTACGGAGCAATAGCTGAATAAGAACCTCTGTAGAAACATTTTTGCTGTAGCCTTGTACTATAATTTCTATGATGTTTTATATGATAAGGGAAATCAGGATGAGGGTGTGCATGTGGGGGTTGGAGCAAGAGACCGGTGTAATAAGTAACATCTAACAGACCTAATTTTTTTATCAGTTACTTCAAAGCAGCTGTTAAAGGGATGAAAAAAAGATAACAGTTTTCTTCAAGTAGGTCCACCAGTGTTTCCCAAAATGTTTCCAAAAGCTCGGACACTGGTGGACAAGCAAAGGGAAAATGGAAAAAAAAAAGTTAGGGATCAGACCAGGATTTTGTTCATAGACAAAGCTGGTAGATAAACCAACAACATAAAACAACAACAACAACAAATCTCCCACTTTCTCAGAGAGACTGGTCAAAGATAATTAAATCTCCTGAAATTGGCATATTGAAACCTATCTCTCTTAACTGCCACAACTTTCTCATCATACTTCAAGATCAACCAGGAAACTAAGACACCCTCCTGTCTCTCATTGCCCTAGGCCTGAAGTAGCCAAATCATGTTTCTTCTACCAAATTCAGCTAATCCCAGGTCCTCGTTTCACCTGAGATGCTGCTGTAATTGTTGAGTGACAGAAGCCCATCCAAGGCCAGACCATTCAGTGGGGAAGAGCCAATGCCTTTATGATGTAGCAGCAGGGGTTGGAATGGAGCCAGGACAACTGGCCTGAATTAGGCAGGAGATTATTCCTTACCAGGTGACAGCATGTGGAAGACCATAAAGGCGTGGGGAGTTGCTTGGGCAGTGATTAGGTGTTAGCTGTTGGACTGTGAAGGCTTAGGTGGTGAGGGGTTGGACTGCTGATAGGACATCAATCGGTGAGCTATTATTTTGTTAGATGAATATCAATCAGCAAGTGATAATTGCACTGTGGATAATTTCTGCCACTGGGCTGCATTCTTACACTTTCCAGGGGGGGTGATGTGTTGTTAGTTTCTCCTGCTGCAGAGTTACGGCCTTTCCTTGCTCAGGTTTAGAGCTCTTGCACTCTGTTATATATCAGTTAGATTTTTCAATATCCTCCACTTCTCAAAGAAGATGGAAATAAACAAAGCAGAGATGGATTTTCAGTAAGGATGAAGTTTAACCACCTGTCTTACTGATTATTAAAGACTAATAAAAAATAATGAAAGTAAAAAAGGCGTAGTGGGGTGGAGTAACTTTAATGTCTTGAGACCTTTGAGAGTAATTTTTTTTGTAAAAGAATCCTTTGAAAAAGAGGAAGATTTAGTCCTTAGAGCACAACAAATCTGTACTGAATAAATCAAGGATAAGCTACAAGGATACTAAACTAAATCACCCTCAGAATGCCAACTTTCCTGAAGATATTTAGAAGACAAATACCAATATAAATGAACTATATTTTTAATAACATAGATTAATGGACCTTAGGATTGTGATTTCTTGAGAAGAATTTATAAAGGCAATTTTATGCTGGCTCCTTGGCATAATAATAAAGTAGGAGGACTCCACTGATGTACACAAAAGGTGTATGAGTATTCCTGAATGCTAGAGTAATGTCTTCAACCTGTCAGGCCTATTTCCCCTATTCTTGCTGTTCTGGGAATACTGGTTCTTGAGACTGGTTAGGCTTTGTGTTCTTCTCAAATTGACATCTCAGGTAAAACAGAGTGGCAGGATTAATATACAATAGGAATTCAGAGTATGTGCTGAATCTGGACTCTATAATAGCATGGCAAGGAGTCTTATTTTAGAAATGAATTAAAAATGACTTGGATGACTATACTTTCAAGTAGGTTGGCAAGCAGACAACTGACCATAAATCAAGGTTAATGATAATGGCAGTGTACCAATTTGGAAGGGGAGATGAACATAAGGAGTATTGTAAAAATTGGTGCTAGGCCCAGCTTTACTAAAAGCCATTATTTATTGTGTTAATGGAAACTAAAGAACGCTGAAGTCAAAGCCCTTGCCAAAGTCTGAGGAAGATGGAGAAGTCATCTTGCCTATATCCAGCTATCTGAGCACTGCTTCCTTAGAATATGAAAATATTCTAAATTCTCCTGATAAAAATGGAGAGGAAAGGTAACTCAAACAAGAAGTGACCAGGCTAAGAGCAAGGATGTACTGTCTGGAAGCAACTTTGTATAGACTTACAGAAACCACAACCAAATGTAGTACTTTGATAACTGAAGTGCTTCCAGAACAAATAAATAAGATTAAAATTGGTAAAGGGTTAAATTAAATTTCCCATTTGATTTGCTTTGCACTATGACATTCAGCTGGAAAAAATGTTTTGAAATCTCAGCTTTAATAATGAAGCTTTAACAAGGATCAAAATGTGAAAATGAAGTTTTAATAATAAATACATCCAGTGTCAAATGTACTAGGATTTCATATATAAAAATTAGAAAGGTATTAAATTTCAAAAATAATTTTAAAAAAAGGTTGAATTTGAAGATCAACAGTATTGAATGGCAAGTCAAATGTTTAGGTCAACAAATCATATTGAAAGTGTTAAAATAATTAAGTTTGGCTGTATGGTGACTAAGAGGGAATAGAAAACCCACTGGATATTTATTTAAAGATGAAAACAGTGTGGGGAGTGATAGCCCAACAGACATGAGTAAGGAGGATGAACTCAGCATAAATATGAGCTGAGCATTAAAAGAATTGCTTAACAATAAACATCTTTGGCTGAAATGTTTTGCAAGAGAGAGAATGAAAGTTCAGTAAAATCAGGCTTTTTTATTATCTGTTTAGTTTCATTATTTTCAACTAGTTTTATAAAAACATGAGAGCACACTATGGAGTGTGTCCTTTTACTGTGCCTGTGGCATGGGCAAATTAGAAATTAAATTAAATATGAATGTGGCCCTCTAAAGATGAAACAAAGAATATGTGCTTAAGAATGGTACTGCAGTAAATTTTTATTGCACTTGGGCTTGCCCAAGGAAAAATGAAAGACAGAAGGCATAATGAAATTAACACACTAATCTAGTGGTTGAGTACCTTCCCTAAAAGATGGGAAGACACTTCCAATTTTACTGCATTTGAGGACTGTGCATCCTATTTCTACAATATCCATAGCAACTAGACAAGATACCTAAACAGCTTACAGTTAGAATGGAACCAATGTCCAGTGATGCAAAGGAATTCTTTAAACTTAAAAAAATAACAATATTCACTTGGCCTAGTGATTCTTTTATAACTTCAGGGAAAGTTAGCTGGCTAGAGTGGTGTATGAAGTCATTCTCCAGCAGTTCAATGTTTAGATCCCATTCCTGGGACATGTGTATTTGATATTCTTTAGGCTAAGAAAACAATTAGAAGTAGGTGTTTCATAGTTTGTGTGAGTGCTCTGTCCACTGCATTAATAGATGACAAACCAACCCTAGAACTGCTAAAAACTGTACTGGCATTTCAATGAAGAACCTTGTCCAGTAGATGTGCTGTAAAAATCTTTAATATATAGGAGAGAAGTATATGTATTGTCTTCTGGGGTAACAGATGTGTTGGACTTTTCTGCATTGTCAGTGCTAGAGAATATATGGGGTGTACTGACCAGGTTTATAAGTTACTGATGCAAAGGAAGGCACCAAATGGCCACCATTTTGGAGTTAAGCACCTAAATACAACCTGTGTCCCACATCTGACTTTTTATCACTTATTCTGAAAAGCATAATGTGCTGACAGCTGCATCTGCATCAAAGTTCACTGTAGAGGATGATTCCACAGTCAATAAAAGGTCCAGAGCTGGCTTTCAGGAAGCAGAGGTGGAAAATTTATATCTCTGAAAGCTACCTGTCTACATCAACTTTGTTATTAATCCTGAAAGCTTTTTATTTGTCTGGAAACAATTTGCTTTGAATAAATGGAGGAGTTTGGGATATATTTCCACCTATACCAAAACCAATTCCCTGCACTGTGGGGTAGTCCATTAAATAACACAGAATTCCTGTTCACAGTTTAAGATAAAACAAAAAGACTTTTGCTTTTTGTAGTTCTGATAGAATTTTTATTGACTGTACATAGCAGACTATGTCACTTTTGCTGTAAAAATCTGCAAGCCGTGAAAAACGTCAGTGTCAGAGATAAAAAGGAAAGGACAAAGTCTGAAAAGGTACTTAAATCCCAAACATAGATTCTTGGAGCTTCTCCATATCTTTCACAGAAACTGGATTCCCATCAGTGCAGATTTCTAGATGTCTACATTTCTAGAGTTGGAAATATAGATTTATTTCAAAATCCTGATAGCAGATCAGCATTTGAGTTCTCCTAGGGCTCTCAGGCTGCAGTAGTTCTGTAAGTGTCTGTCATGAGGTCCCTGTCCCATGTTTCCTCCTGATCTGAACATGTTCCAATTCTGTGCAGAGCAAATCATAAGGAAGAGGTAAAATCCCTTTTAAATCCTTGACAGAGTGCTCCAGGGATGAAAATCTTTCCACTGCTTAGCCAACTCAGTCATCCTTGTTTATACATACCTGTTCTCACAGAGGTCATTGAAGCCTTTCCCATCTGCAGCTCCCCTCAATCTTTTGTGAATACTTTCTTTCAAAGAGCAAGTACATGTCAAAGTGCAAGTTGGCTCATCAGAAAGGATTCAAACCATTGGGCTTCTACTGGGTTTTGTGATGGAGTACCTGCACTGTGCATAGTTATTGCAAAATCACTTGATTGTGGACCAAAGCTGTGGAAAAATTGTCTATTACCTGATGCCTATGTGTAAACAATACATAACTATCTTATCTATCTAGATGAGGGCCTTGATGGTGTTGATATTTGTCAGTGAGAGGCATCTTCATCTTCATTTAAGGGGCTTTGTGAGAAGAGTGATGGGCCTACCTGGGCCAATTCCAGCCAAAAAATTATTCTTATGGTGATCAAACCTCTGCATGGCAATGTAGCAATTAGTGTATAGGCCAATGTTGGAACTGAAAACAGAAGATTTGACCTAGATTCTTAAAGTTTGGGAAGTTTCAAGTCCATGCATCCCTAACAACTAGTCATATAGATGTCCTATCTGTTAGTTTTATGTTTCTGTTGTCCTCTTTTTTTCTACATCTTAATAAAAAAATATAAAAAATAAAAGAAGCTTTATTACTTATATGCATTAATTATATCATACATTTTATATGCAGCCTGAGACAATTCCTCTTCACTCAATATGTCAGACAAATCCAAAGGTTGGATGCCCACGGGGGTTGTGCTAGAATGAGTTAAGGCATTCATGCAATAGTGATGTGGGAAAAAAAACAAACCTGGTTCTTTAAACAGGCATGAGTAGTTCATGGCTCTCAATGTCCAGGGACTACCTATGTCATAGGTCAATTTGGGATGGATGTTTATAAAGCACTTACATAGGCTCATATAGCCCATCATAGCCTCAAATTCCTGCAGGCAGCCATCCCACTGTCTGCAGGGTGTGTTAAAGTGGATCTGAAGAAGTGGGAATTGGAACAGCATTCTTTGGGTGGGTGGGTCTGCTTGTCACCAGCTTTTGGCAAGGTATATGCTGTTTCTGGCCTGCGCCTGCCTTCAAGTTTGGATTTTTAGACAATGTGTTCTTGTCTCGGATCTTCGGATATCTCTGGTGTTTGATGTCGTTACTGATGATAAAAATGTCTCTCACTTCTTTTCTGTTAAAAACCTGCTGTATTAGTCTGTCTAGCTCAAAACACATATTTGCTTTTCTGAATGGTCCCTAGAATGTACCTGGAAGCTTTTAAAGTGAAAAACCATTTGCCTCTCTTTAAGTCATGCCACTCCACTCTTTGCAAAATGTAATTTCCATCTAATGCTTGAACCTTCAGACCTCCTGAAATAAAATGCTGAGAAAGATTTACGAGTCACCAAGGCTTGAGTTAATGTGCTGATAGCTATGGAATTTCAGATGTTCAAATAGAAGTACTCACAGCTGCAGCAGAAATTTTCTAAGATGCCAAAAAATCCTAGAAAATAACCTTCCTAACAATAGCAAATGAAGGTTTAAACATTATGCTCATGCTTTATTGTTTAGTAGTTTAAGCAGATCTTACAATCAGCAAAAAAATAATTTAGGAGTCATCTTAATATGCAAAGATACTTCTGAGGATGGAGAAAGCAAGGGAGGGTGAGATGGGCCTTTCTGCCTGCTCTGCCCTGGGAAGTCTCCTGACCATGCACACCTGCTTGCACCTGCCCTATAGAATAGCTGCCAGCACATCCAAAGGTCTCTGGGAAGTCTCGTGCTGCCTTCCATTTGATCAAGACTTTCCTCAGCTTCTAAGCACAACAAATTTAGCAAAACAAACCAGGTCCTGCCTTGAATATCTGTTTGAAATATCCCATTATTTTAAAAGATTATTTTACTTTAGGCAAGGGCTGCGACATCAATTTGCTGTTAAAAATAATGGAAGATTTGATACAATGAAATGCTGAATTATGAATGTGTCACATGCCAAATCCAACTTCTTTTTGTTCATGTAATGTTATTTCAAGGCATTAAATGGATCATACCATACACTGTTTTCTGCAGAAAACAGAGAGCAATCTGCTTTTATGTGTTTCATCCTTGAAATAAAAAGAGGGATTAAAATTTGCTTGAGTATCCACCAAAGGAAACAGGCAATGCTTATAATCATGAGACTGGGATTGCTTAAGAATGTTATTGTTTTTCCAGTGTATATATGCTGGCATAATGCTGGTTTGGAGAGAGATAAAAATGTATATTAATAACAAGTTTTTTTATTGTTGTAATTCTTTCTCTGGCCAAAATCATCTATACAAGTGTAAATGTATACATATAAGCACAGATATGTTTATACCATTGCCAGGCTCAGCTGAAGATGGATAGTGCTTCGTCTAGGCAAGTGTATGTCTTTCATCTCTTCAGAGAGCACTAAAATGACACCCACCTAATACTTTAATGTTTAGAGATCTGAACAGTTTTGGTGAATAAATTATAAATCATGTTTTTCTTCCCTACATTTGGGGAACAATCCTTAACTGAACATGTTTCAAGAGATGATTTTCTTCCAAAAGAGGCATTGGAAACACTCAATTTTTGTGCAGTGCTTTCAAAGGCAAGTTATGGCAAGTGTGCCAAGTGTTTGATGTTGGTAGTCTGACACTAGCACTTACAGATGTGTTGTTTGTGATCTGATTTTGGATAAAACAAGCATAGCTTTGATGAATCTTTTATGCTTTAGTTCTTTAGGGAAAAGACAACAATGAACTTCAGTCAATAAAACTCTATTTCATTTGCAGCCAGATAGCCAGCTGAAGGATAATGAATGTCAAGGACATGAAGTTGAGAAAGGAAACACGTGGTTGTGAACTGGACCTTGCAGAACTGTAGGTCAGTACTATACTGTGACAGCATAGCTTTCACCCAGCAGTGCTTCTGCACTAATACATGGCATTAGAAAAGGACCAGAAGCAACAAGATCACGAGTGTAAAAAGAAACAGTAAAGAGATGTGGCTCAAAGACACCTCTAAAGAATCCATAATGACTGGACTTCATTGCCTATCTGTCCATGGTATTATGTGCAGCTCAGACAACCAACTAATAGGTAAGGGAAGTTGGGCAAAAGTACATCTATGGATGGAGAAAATCATCTTATAAAATAATGGGAATTTTACTACTAATGCCTCAAATGACCTTACTTTTGTTCTCATAAGTGAATACATTAAACCAAATTGATTTATTTTTAAATCGTGAATCCTTGAAGAAGAAAAAGCAGTAACAGGTGTCAGATTTTCAAGGTCACTTAAAGTTCATTGAGATCTATGGATGCTTCTCTGCTCTTTTTGCTTCAGCCTCTTAATAACTGCATGCACAATGCCTGTGCTTCCATGGTTTATTATATTGCTCAGTTTTCAACCCAAGATGGAATGAATGTGAGATATCAGTTTGAGGAGAGTAAAAATCCTTGGAGAAATGGCTTTGGGACAACATGTTACAAAATGTGGTTGTATATTTTCAGGCCTTCATAATTCAGTCAGTCAGTACGTGTCATTCCGAGAAGCAGCAGTTTAGTTAGGATGATTTCCAGTCTGCTGTATGTTTTCAGGAATTTGCTGCACCACATGAAAAATCAGTCTGTCATACGAGTAGAAGGAGTTTACTAGACATCATTGGGTGTGTGGACTTGGATAAGCTCTACAAAACAAATATCTTCTAAGGGATCAGCGACATCAGATGCTATTTGAACACTGATAAAACAAATGTGATTGTCATAAGAAGTTCAGAACAGACCACAGTAAATTTTATATTTTGCAAAACAAATATCTTTGCAAGTGCAAATTCAGCATTCAGTTAAAGTCTGTGGTCACAATAAAGTTGTCAGTATTGCTTTCCTTTGTTTCTTTTTTTCCGCCCATGTTTGTTTCTTTTATTAAAAAGATATTTAATATTCCTGAAAGACTCTTCATTCTCTGGCTATTTTTGAGATGTGCTGCTGCAAATATATTGCTGTGCTGATCTATTAATTTTCTAATTGTTTTAAAAATAATTCCATATTTAAATACTGACTAGAATAGGAGTCAGAACCACAGAATGATGAAAGTTGGAAGGAACCTCTGAGTCCCTGCTAACTCATCCCTTGCTCCAGCAGGGCAACCCAGAGCAAGATGCTCAGGCCCATGCCCAGACAGCTTTTGAAGGTCTCCAAGGAGGAGATTCCACAACCTCTGAACAGCCTCTGCCAGTGCTCCATGCTGACTCATGTTGAATTGAGTCCACTAGTACTAGCTTTCTGTAGAGCTGCTTTCCAGTTGGGTGCTTCCAGCATGTCCTGGTGCTTGGGGTTGTTCCCCCCTCGGTGCAGGACTCTGCACTTCTCCTGGTTGAACTTCATGAAGTTCTTGTCAGTCCACTTCCCCAGCCTGTGATATCCCTCTGGATAGCAACACAGCCCTCCGGTGAATTGGTCATTACTACCCAATTGCATACTGCCTGAAATATTGATGACATTTTTGTTAATGTGTCCTGTATGTGACATACTGGTATACAGAGCTTTATTCTTCGATCATTCATTTTGTTTGAGGTAGTAGCTGTCTGATGTGTGGCTATTTCAACCCAATGCTACTTTCCAAAATGCTTCTAATCAAATTGGATTGCCTTCTGATTTAAATAATTCTTCCCCAAGATACATTAGTGATCATTTTGTATTGTAAGTTTCATACTATTCTTACTTGAAGAAACTTGTTACTTTCATATAAACATCAAGACATTAGCATTTATCTTCTACCTCCTAGTCAGCTTGTATATACATGCTCCAGTGTAGTTAAGTAGTTCAATATTTAGGACTGAGTTTGGATATACAATAATGCTGTGACTTATCCTGTCTGCAGCTCCAACAGGAGATTTAAGCCCTATTTAATGGTGTAGCTAAATTAAGACTGAAATTCAAACTTCTTAATGAATTTATTAAACTTTTTCAGGGCTGGAGATGACACGTATTGGTCTTGCAACACAGAATGAGGCTTGTGAGAGGTGAAGCACATTTATCACCTCATATAGGCACTGTGAACCACTGATCATCAGAGCCCTCACACAGACTTTTCTGAGAGCCTCACTGGAGGACAAGGGATGTGTTCTCACCCCATTAGGATACATCACCCAGACTTCCATACTCAGCATACAGGGTTAAACTCAGTCTTTCAAAGACACTGCTTCAGAGTTGACCTTTCAAGATTATTTGGAGGTAAGGAAAGTTGAACCAGTGCTAACATTTCAGGTCATATCCTAATGACTACATATTGTGATAGGAAATGAGACAAGTGAACTAGTTTTCTCTCTTTTTTTTCCTTATGTTTTTTTAGGGTTTCCAAATTTACCTGCAACTTAAGAGGGCTTCTTGTTGGGCTTTGCTTCTGGGCTGATGTGAAGAGGAAAGCATGGATGTGCACTTGGAAGCATTTATAGAGAAAAGCTGAACTAACAGCAAAACTTAGCTGTTGCCAGGATTAACAGCATCTAAACAAGAGTTTTGTACATCACACCTATGAATTTATTTTATTACTTAATTATATCTGACTTTATTTGGAGCTATCCTTTAACTTTTCCACCTATCTTTTGCTCAGTACTGGGGATATATAACTCCCTTTTTGTACCTTCAAGAGAGGGTAAACCTTCAAGAGAGGTTTTGATATCTATGCTATATTACCTCATCCCTTCCATATTTCTGCCAATGGATGATTGTTCCTGGGAGTACTTAGGACTTTGTGTGGTCCAGATTGGAAAGACCTTGGACACAGGAATCCCATTTCATTCTAGCAGTAGAAATGGTATTCCAGAAAAAATTTTCCTAACTTCATCCTATGAGAGCTCATCTAATTACACCAGCCAAGTGAGCCAAACCTAGTCTGGCCAAATTTGGACTGGCTAAGTCCAAGTTTGATGAGTCTAATTTCCCTTGAACTTGGAAAAGCCCCATGCACGTGGCTGAGTGGTAAAGCTAAAACACTCTAGTAGTGTTGAATTGGGTTTCTGAGGCCCAAACACCTTCACATCTTGGCATAAATCTGAGTAAAAGCTCACAGCTTGGGTCCGTATCTCCATCATCTAGCCAAACTTTCCATCAGTTTAATTACTCTCTATATCAACTGCTAAGAAATTTATTTTTCTACTTACAAAACTGAACTGCATTTTTAGTAAGTAGAAAAACTGTTCTATCCATTGCAGCCATTGCTATTTACCACCAAGAGGACTAAATTTTATTTCTTTTTCCACTCCTTGTTTCACTTCTTGAGTACAGGTAAATTTGAAATCCTCTGTGGCATACAGCAGGCTATATGTGCACCATATGCCAAGCATTTTGGAAAGACGTTTAGGTTTATGATAGGATGGAAACACTTTTATTTCAAATGTGAAGTTAGGGAATAGCAAGTTTTTCATGAAAATCTGAATAGTTGGAATAAAGATTGCAACAGACTAATACTCCTATAATGTTCAGGCCTGTTATGTAAATTAAATGTCTCTCATTCAAGGTGTGACTCTCTTGATTCTTCCCTTCACAGCCACAGATTACCATCTAATAAGTCAGGTGTCAGTTGAGAAAAACTACTTCTGATCTACAAAGGAGCCATTTTCTTCCCCTCTCCCCAAAAGCTGGGAAGAGTTGCTTGAGTTGTGATAGGTACCTTTGTAGGATAAATTGTTTGATGGAAATCAGCCCACGCTTGGATCTCTTTAAGAGAAATCTCTTGAGTAGCAACTGTGTAGGTCTTGTAAAAACACCAGCCGGAATCATTAGCTTGCTGTCCTTAGCCATTCCTTTATCTCTGAGCAAACTAAAACTAGAGATAAATTATGGGGCTTCAAGTAACTATGTAGAGTGCAGCATTTGAGATGGCGGTGTGTATTCAACAAGAAATGTTTTATAATTGAAAAAGAAAGAGTAGGAGCTAAATATAGACTGTTGGGAATTTTGAATTGGCAGTTTCACTGTGGTATTTATACTCATTTCCTTATTTGAACCAATATGAAGTGTTGTGTGTGGGTTTTTTTTTATTTTCAAACTCCAAGCATTTCAGTGATCCAATACATTTGGTACACATCAGCATGGACAATCTGATAATTATGATTAAAAATCTAAAAGCAGACTTTGCCCCCTGGACAAAGCACTTGTGAGAAAGAAATCAAAATGGGTGTTAGTGAAATGCTGGCAGAAGGAACCACACATTTTAGCCAATTTGTGGTCTTTTTGTTCAATTGTGATAAGCAAGTCCAGTATGGTGTTACCTTTATTCTGATTGTAGAGATACAGGAGTTGCTTCCTCCCATATTAATCTCAAGTGCTCAGGGACACTTTATACTGCTGTATATCTGTTTGTTATTGCCAGTCCAAGCTAGAAAGACCATGTGTGATTGCCTGCTTTGAAAAACTCCTGCAGAAATCTTTGTGACGCATTTCTTTGCAGATTCCTTCTCTTAATACTCCTGGGCAGACAGGAAGCAGTTTCTGTAAGATAGATGTTACTTACTCAACAAAGATCAAGAGCATGTTGGGCAAGACACAACCTGTGGATAGCCAGCTACCATTGGATGATACAAAGCATGGCAGAACAGTTAACAGCAGAATGCAAATTGAAGTACCAATGCTTCTTAGCCTTTACATTGCCCAATAAAGGGTAGTAAGACTAAGAATAGTCACAGACCTGTATCTGTCTAGAAGTTAGGAGTCTAGCCTCAGATAATTGTTTTCTTCTATAACAGGAGAAAGACAATTCATCTCATTTTAACACTACAATGTTTAGTGCTGCCTAATTTAAGTGTTCCTCTCTCTACTGAAAAAGCCCAGATGCCAGCTCAGAGGCAGTTAAACCAGAAGCGAAAAATTCCCCCTCTAGTGATAGAATAACCTGTATAAAGTTAGTATCAAAAATTAATGTGGGGCAATAATCAATTTGGAGGCATTCCTTTAAGAGAGGTTATTACGATTTTTTTTATTTCTAAAATAAATCATTTGGCTAAAAATACCAGCACTGCTTCAGTTCAGTTTAAAAAAAAAAAAAAATACAAACATAAACAAACGAGGAAGATTTTCATTAAAGACTACAATTACCGAATAACAGGATATGACTTTCTACCACATCCTATTTCTAACTGTAGGCTTTTTGAAAAATGCACCAACAGAACTGGTGTTATTGCCTGAGCTTGCTGGTAACTGAGCTTTCCAATGAAAGCAAGCTTAGCCTTTACCTCTCCATCAGGTCTGCCAGTGGGTGAGTTCACAATTAAGTCAGGAAGGGCAAAGACATCACTGCATCATCTTCCAGCTCTTCGAAAAAAACAAAGAGCACATACTTGGCAGCACTTTAATTTCTATGGTTACTGATGAATAACAGCACAGCTGGGGAACTGTTGCTACAACCCACTAGCAGAGATAATTTAAGAGGTCACACTTAAGCAGATCCATTATAAAAACATTGCATTTTTTTTTCCAGGGATAATAAAAGTGAAGGTTGTACTTTTTGGATTAGCATCAAGTATACCAGACAGATAGTCGTAAATTTGCCCCCATTGCCATTATTAAGTAGAATGCAATAGGAAGAGGAAGGACAGTTCTTTAGTTATGATGCTAACCCCCCACTGGTGGCCTCTGGACAAAATCTTGACCAGGACTATGATTTTCTTGGGTTTCATCAGTCTCAGATGGTGACAGTAAAGCAGGGAAATGCTCCAGGCAACCCAGGAAGACCTGTACCAAAGCTTTGCTTGCTATGAGGGGAACAGTGATACAATTCTCTGGAAAAAGTAATGGCATAACACTGAATCAGAATGCTTTGGGAACTCTGACGCAGACTGCTTGCATGTGCTGGGTGAAACGGCTGTTCTGTGTTTTTAATTTTGGTCTGTACATCCTTTTTTTTTACCTCTTAGGATACAAATCTCACAGCCATGGTGGCATCACTTCAAAAAACCTGCCTGTAAATAATTGATGGATGGGACTGTAAGGGTCTTTTGGGCAGGAAAAGCCTATTATGTTGTTTTACACAGTGCGCCATTCAGGAGGGAGATGAAGGCAAGATTCACTCTTCCTTTGGCCTGCCCTGCCCTAGACATGGGTTTGGCTGAAGAAAATCCGTGCATGAAACAGACAGTAATAGGAAATAAGCTAAATATTTTTGTTACTTTTGCACATTTGAAAAATAGCATGTGGTTTGGGAATGGAACAACTCCTATTTTATACACCTCTAGGTGCAATTGTAAATTGCATCTGTTAAAAACAGATGACAGTTGTTAATGGACTGAACTTTTGCATTGGTCCACAGAAATGAACTGTTGCTGTGAATGCAAATGTTGCAATTTTACATTTCACTCGGTGTACTGTAGGATTACTATTAGAAAAGGCAAAGGAAATCCATGTAAGTCCTCGTGCAAGGCTCTTCTTTCTACATGTTTTCTACACGCACTGGAACAAGCGCATCATCGAGAATAAAACCATTGACATCAGTGGAGTTTCACCTGGGACAGATTTGGCCTGCTTCTGCTAACTGCGTCATTACCCTGAAGCCACACTGAACAATTCATTAGTGGCAGAGAGCTAAATTTCTGAAAGTGTGTGTAACCTAACTCTAACCACCAGCACAGTAGAAACTACTCTCAGTAGCTCCTCTGGGCAACCAAGGACAACACCAGATTGAATAAATAAATACAAACAGAGAGTATTTTTCAATTAGCTTCACATCTGGAGTACTGGATATTTTTCCAGCTCTAAAGTCAAGGCACGTTTACAGAGTATGAAAGACAGTCCTCTTTACTGTCACACATTTCTGATGATCACAGGGAATTTGACAGCATTAATTCTTTGTATAAGAGAGAGATTTTCATTCCATGTCACTGCTTCCAAAGAATAAGCTCGTATGCCATTGACTACCTCATTTCTGAAAATTACTGTTGAAATCTCTTTTTGTCGCCTCGGGCAGTGCTCCCCAGCAGTGTCCCACCTCCTCCTGTGCCCATTCCCTGCTCACAGCTGCCCCATCCTGGAGGTGACGCAAGCTCATGAGCAGACAGCTCCAGCTGTGCCAGCTGGCACTGGTGCATGACAGTACTCTGAACTTAATTTACCAGCAGAGGTGCAGTGTGGTCTGAAATAGTACCTTACAGTGGCAGCTACAGGTTGGATTTGTGTTCTTTTGTCTTCTGTTGATAAGAAGTCTTAGAGAGGAATGGAGTT